CGGACCGTCTCGCGCTCGTGCGGGTCCGACGCGTCGTCGCCGGAGCCGCCGGACGCGGCCTCGACGAGGCGCTCGCGGAGCTCGTCGAGCTGGACGCGCACGGCGAGCCCGTCGCCCGCGAAGCACTCCAAATTCCGCAACGTCAACCGCTTGAGCTCCTCGAGCCGGCCGGGGCTCAGCGCCGCGAGCCGGTCCACCTCGGGCGTGTAGGGCGAGTCGCCGGGCCGCGCGAGACACGACTTCCGCCGCACGGTCGGGGGCGCCGGGCGGCGGCGCTTCGTCGGGGACGGGCTCCGGAAGCCCGCGGAAGCCGCGGAATCGTCGCCGTCCGAGTCCCACGCGTCGAAGTCGAGGCGCAGGGGCGTGCAGGCCTCGGAGCCGCAGGACGAGGCGCTCCCGGCCGACTCGAAGCCGTCGAGGCCCGCCGCCCCGCGCTTGCGGGACGGGCCGGGGCCGGGGGCGTCAAACGCGGTCTCGTCGAAGGAGATAAACCGGGGCCGCCGGCACGGCGCCCCTTTCTCGATGGTCACCATGGGCACGGGCACGTTCAGGGGGCCGGCGACGCGCCGGAGCGGCCGCGTGGGGCTCACGAGCTTCACTCCCGCGTCCATTGTCGGCAACCAGCTGATGCTCTCGCAGGGCTATTCTCGCTCTCAAAGAATCAGTGCAAGGTGATGCGCTCAACAAATCGCGCGAATCAACGGATTTGCGCGCGGCGTCGGCAGTGCGGGCGCGCGGATATCTCGCCCACCCGTAGGAAGGCCGCGGCGCATGGCACGGGCTCGTCTACACACGTGAGAGGCACCGGCCCTACTCAGCGGCACGAAGAGGCAGCGCGCGCCGACTCCCAACGCCCGCTCCCCTCGATCGAAGCGACCTTATGTAAAACGCGAATTTCCTACGGCGCCGTCGCCGCCACCGCCAGCTCCGGCGCCGCCTCCTCGGCGGCCGGCGCGGCGTCGTCCTCCGCGCCCGAGTCCTCGCCGTCGTCGTCGACGAGCACGGCCATGTGGTCGACGGGCTGCGCGTCGGCCGAGTCGCCGATGTCGAGGCTGCCGCCCGTCGACTCGATGGGGAAGCCGCCCGTCGAGTTCGTCGACTCCGTCATCTGGAAGGACTGCGTCGGCGCCGTGGACGCGGGCGTGAGCGGCCGCGCGCCCTTGGACGGGAGCGTCTTCGCGAGCCACGCGTAGGTGTTGGGCCCGAGGCCCTTGCCGCGCTGGTGGAGCTGGTGCAGCGCCGCCGCGGACACGGGCACGGACACGGAGCTCCGCACGGGCGACGCCGCGCCCGAGCCCGCCACGTGCGCGCGGAGCAGCGCGTCCGAGAGCACGAAGGCCTTGGCGCCCGGCGACAGGCGCACGGCGCGGCTCTCCTTGGCCGCGATGCCGACGATGCAGACGGCGTGGACCTCGCGGCGGCCCAACGCCGTCGACGACGACGACGGCGTGTCCTCGACGTCCATGGACAGCGCGTCGCGCGCGAGGCTCTTCCGCGTGCGCTCCTCGGGCGGCCGCTCCGCGTAGACGACGGCCGTGCCCCGGATGAGCAGCAGGCTGTGCGCCGCGTCGACCGTGACCACGGACGACCCCCTCTGGTTGAGCTTCGCCGCGGACTTGAAGCCCTCGGCCGCCTTCATCGCGGTCCGCGCGCGCGCCCAGTAGCCCGTTCCGTGGGGCGGCTCCGGCTCCGGCGGCGGCGCGCTCTCCGAGCCGCGCTTGCGCAGGCCGACGGCGCCGAGCTTCATGACCTTGGAGACGCTCTTCTTGAAGCGGAGGTTGCGGCCCGGCGTCGTCGCGGACGTCGGCGACTCGGGCGCCTCGTCGTCGTCCTCGTCCATCGTCGACATCGGCGACGCGGGCGACTGCGAGCCCGAGGGGCGCCGCTCCGGCGAGCGGAACGTCGACGCGCGCCGCGCGGCCTTGATCTTGTTCCAGCCCGACTGGAAGACGGACTGGCGCGAGTTCGCGCGCCGCGGCCGGTCCGAGAAGCTCAGCCCCTCGGTCGTCGACGTCCGCCCGCGGAAGCTCGGGTAGCGCGCGGGCTCGCCGTCGAGCTCCGGCACCTCGACGAACGTCGCGTCCTTCTCGAGCGCCTTCAACGCGGCCTTGGGCAGGTCCTGGAAGTCCGCGTAGTCGTGGAGCGCGGAGAGCACGACCATCCACCACAAGCCCCGGCGCACGCCGTCGTGGCGCTCCGCGAGCGCGAGCATCTCCTTGCGGTCGAAGAAGACGAGGTGCACCATGGACAGCGTCCGGTACGTCGCCGTGAACGGCAGCTCGAGGAGCTGCTCCTCGAGGCAGCACACGGCGCCCGCGCTGAGGATGACCTCCTCCGACGTCGCCGTCGACCGCGACGTCTCGTGCTGCTCCCTGTCGTGGACGAGGCGCACGGAGCCACGCGCGATGACGAACCAGCCGTGGCGGCCGTGGTGCTCGAGGCGCCGCTCCAGGGACCGCTCGCCCTCCAAAGCCAGCGTCTGGTGCGCCAACAAAATCTCCGAGCGGCACGCGTCGTCGTCGTGGATGAGGTCGTCGAGCTGCGCTTCCGTCAGGGGCCGCAGGAACGGCACGTCCCGCACGAGCGTCTTGATGGGCGGCATCTGCTCCGTGTAGGGGTGCTGGCTCAGCTTGATGCGCGCGGCGTTGATGTGGCGCTCGCACTCGCCGAGCTCCTTCGCCGTGATGTGGCCGTGCTCCCGCGACTCCTTCATGAGCTCGTGCTGCCGCACGAGAACGAACGACGCCGCGACCTGGGTCTTGATGGCGTTCGCCGACTCCGGGAACACGTCGATGTACTCGGCGATGGTCGCCTTGGCCATGGCCTGCATCTTCGCGACCTCCTCGACGAGCGCCTCCTGCACGGGCCCCGCGTCGACGATCTCCTCCGCGGCGAGCGCGTGCTCGACGTCCTCGTGCGCGTGGATGAAGTTGTAGGCCACCTCGAACACGAAGGCCATGCGCCGGAAGATGACGCCCTGGACGGACTCGCGCACGCGCTCCGAGGGGATGTACGTGTTGAGGTACTGGATGCGGCTCAGCCGCGCCTTGGGCCACAAATCGTGCGCCTCGAGCCGCTCCCACTCGTCCAGCGGCCGCGACTCGTCGTCGGTCTGCATGTCCACGTTCTCCACGAGCACGCGCAACCCGTGGGGCGTGAGGCGGCCGTGCGTGAAGGCGACGTGGTAGTTGGCCTTGATGGCCCAGAGGCACCGCGCGCGCGACTCCGCGAGCATCTCGCGGCCGCCCTCGACCGTCGACGAGCTCGAACTCCGCGACAGGGACGACACGCGGAGGGGCGCGTAGGCCGGGCCCTTGGGGTCGCTGTGGACGAAGGTGCCCGAGTCCGGCGACGTAGACGGCGGGCTCTTCGGCGCCGACGCGAAGCGCGCGGCGACGCCGTCGAAGACGCGCCGCGCGAAGCCCGGCGTCGACGACGACGCCTCGGAGCCGCCGCGGCTCGACCGGCCGTCGTCGTCGCCGAAGCTCGTGGGCGCCCGGGCGGTCATCTCGACGCCGGCCTCCGCGAAGGACACGCGGCGCGCGCTCTGGGTGCGCCCCTCGTCCGACGACGCGGCGAGCTGCTGGCGCATCTCCTCGGAGAGGCGGTCCCGCGTGCTCGGCCGCTTCTCCTGCTTCGACCGCTCGCCGAAGAAGTCGCCGGAGAGGAGCGGCGCGGCGAACGCGGACGACGACGTCGAGCTCGTCGGGAGCGGGTTCAGCGGCGACGCGCCGCCCGTGCCGTGGTGCGCGGAGACGGCGTGGTTCTTGAGCACGGCGGACCCCGTGACCTTCGCCAAAATCTCGTCGTTGCGCATGCTCCGCCGCTCCTTCAGGGGCGCCTTGCCGCCGTCGAGGTTTAAAAAGCGCGGCGCGACGCACCCGAATTCGCGGTGGTAGTTGACCCAGCGGCGGTGGAGCAGCGCGGGGATGCGGTAGTCCGCGCGCCGGTCCCGCGGGAACAGGACGCGCAAGAGCCGCTGGACGACGCCCACGTCCCGGGGCGCCTCGCTCCAGGACGCGAGATCCTCGCGCTCCGCGTCGCTCAGGACGATGTGGCCGTCGCGGAGCCGGAGCCAGTAGGTCTCCACGCTGAAGACGGGCAGGTAGCGCCAGACCATCTTCCAGTCCGCGTCGCCGAGGTACTGCTCCCGCGTGAGCGACGCGATCTCGTTGGCGAGCTTCTTGTCGACGTCGACGGTGACGTGCGCGAAGATCTCGTCCTCCGCGTCCGTCTTCTTCGAGAGGCCCGTCCAGTTGAGCACGTGGACCATGGTCGTGCCGTTGACGCAGAGCGTCAGGATGGCGATGCCCGACACGTGGAAGAGCATGCGCATCTGGAGCTGGTCCGGGAGGCCCTTGGTCTCGTTGACGATCAACGCGAGCGCGAGGCCGATGGCGCCCCGCAGCCCGCCGTAGGCGACGACGAGGCCCTGGTTCAGCGACATGCCGTAGATGCCCGACCGGAGCACGGGCGTCGACAGCACGAGCACGAGGCCCCGGATCGCGTGGAGCGCGACGTAGAGCACCAGGAGGTAGTAGACGTCGCGGTTGCGGAACGTCGTGCAGTCCGTCTCGACGTCGGCGCTGTAGCCGCCGCTGAGGGCGCGGCGGGCGTCCGCGCCGTACAGGAAGCGGTGGTGGTCGGCCGCGTGGTCGTCGTCGTCGCCGCACTTGAAGCACTCGCCGACGACGGAGCCGCTCCGCTTGATGCCGAAGACCTTGACGGACATGATGAGCCCGCTCAAAAAGAAGACGGCCGTGTTCGCCACGTGGGCGAGCACGCCCCAGAACGAGTGCAGGTTCTCCTCGACGTCCGCGGAGATGCGGCCGCGGCCGTAGCGCGAGAGGTACATGCCCGCGAAGACGACGGAGAGGACGCCCGACGTGCCCACGATGCCCTCGGCGACGGCGAAGGCCGCGTAGCACGTGATGAGCGTGATCGTGATCTCGTTGAGCGGGTCGTTGAGCACGTAGCCCAACAACGTCGCCGCGCACCAGCCGATCGCCGTGCCGACGACGGGCCCGAGCGCGCCGAGGCGGAAGAGCATGCGCAGCACGCTCTGCCACGACGGCATCTCCGCGTCGCAGGGCTTGTGCTCCAGCGCATGCTTGAAGACGTCGAAGACGACGATGGCCGTGCCGTCGTTGAGCAGGCTCTCGCCCTCGATGAGCGTGCCCAGGCGCTCGGAGACGCCGAGCTCCTTGAGCAGCGCGACGACGGCGACGGGGTCCGTCGCGCTCATCATGGCGCCGAACATGAGCACCGTGGGCCAGTCCCAGCCGTAGTCCGTGAAGACGGCCTTGACGAAGCCGCCCGTGAGGATCGACGCGACGAGCACGCCGGGGCCCGCGAGCGTCAGGATCTGCCACTTCTGGCGGCTGAAGATGTGCGTGTCCGTCATGAAGGCGCTCTCGAAGACGAGGATGGGCACGAAGCAGTACAGGATGACCTGCGGGGTCATGTCGTACCACGACTTGAGGTTCAGCTCGAAGGCGTTCCGCCGGTTCTCGATGAGCAGCCCCGTCAGCGCGCCGAGGACCATGAGGATCACCGTGTAGGGCAGCCGCAGCGCGCGCCCCAGGTACTGCCGCGACAGGACGCCCAGGACCAGGATCACCACGAAGGTGAACATGCCGAAGCGCTCCATGGCCATGGTTACTGGGGCAGCCCCTCGCCTGTTTATTTGGAGCAAGGCTGAATTGGTTCCCTTCAATGACGACGCGACGTGCCGTTTTCAAGTTCGGCCGCGCCGCCGCGCACTTCGCCGCGCAGGATCCTCGACGAGGCTCCACGTTTCCCTTCAATGACGACGCGACGCGCTGTTCGGCTGCCGCGCGGCGCGGGATAATCCAAGGGACCTGCGTGAGCCGCGCCCATACTTGTAGTAAGAAAACCGTGGTTAGCCGGCGCGCGACGAGGCGCGCATGAGCCGCCCCCAGAGCGACGTCGACCGGCGGCGCGAGGGCGCCCGCCGGGGCGGCGGCTCCGCGGCGGGCGCCGCCGGCCGCGGCGGCGCCTCCTGCGCGACGGCGCCGCCCGGCGCGCCCGGCGGCGGCCCGAGCAGGTCCTCGCGCCGCGCGAGGTCGACGAGGTCCCGCTGGAAGGTCTTGTTCGACACGCACTCGTTGCCGCGGCGCGCGCGGCAGTGCCTGACCGCGTCGAGCACCGAGCGCCGCTCCTCGAGCATGAGGTCCGCGGCGACGAGGACGCCGGACCGGTTCAGGCCCTGGACGCAGTGCACGAGGACCGCGCCGCCGCCTCGCCTCGCCTTCGCCAGGAAGGCCCGCGCGGCGTCGAGGTGGTTGGCGAGCATCGGGTACCCGGGCTCGTCGCGCGCCTCGAGCACGAGCGTCTCGATGCCCGCGGCCGCGTAGGCCGCGGCGGGCGCCGCGGCCGCCGCGCCCGCGGCGTTGAGCACGTGCGTGATATGGAGCGACTGCAGACGCGCGACGTCGCGCGCGCAGACGGCGTCGCCCAGGTAGACCTCGCCGGGCACGACGTCGACGGGCAGCGCGAACATGCGCTTCACCTCGGCGCGCCGCGCGTCGGCGTCGGGCACGTCCTTCTCCCAGTCGAGCACCGACGTCTTGCGCAGCGCCCAGACGTAGGGGTAGTCCGCGTCGCTCGGCTCGTCGTCGTCCCCGGCGTTCGCCGACGACGCGCGCTTCGGGCGCGTGCGAAGCGATCGGAAGGAGAAGCTCCCCTTGGAGGAGCGCTGCGACGCGAAGGAGGTCATCGGTGGTGTGGTGCTGCTGCTGGGCCGGCCGCCACGACGAGCTCGACGCCAAAGCGCCGCTTCGGCCGGTGGCAGCGGCGCTGGCCGGCCGCCGCTGCCCGTGCGACGCGGCAAGCGCCGTCCCGGTGCGAGACACAAGCGCTCGAGCTCCGCTTGCAAAGGTGAAGCGCATCATCGCTGAGATCCCGAAAATCGCGCCTCCCGCGACGTCTGCAGGACGCCTCGGGACGCTATAACCGCGCTTTGTGGACGGCGAGGCGAGAGGCGAGGCTTTGGGCCGGCATGGGGGGCGACTCATCGGGAGTAATTTGCCCCCCGACGGCGGCTCCGGCGCAAAAATCGATGTTGCAGTTGCGGTGAACGCAGAACCGCGTGGCCGGCTCTCACACGAGCACTGAGAGCATCGCCTCCGGCGCTGCTTCTGGCGTACATTGTTCCGCCCCGGACGCGATCAGCGCGCCCCCACCCACTCTCGAACCCCTCCCCCGATGCTCGCGTGCCGCCTGGCAAGCAGATTAGCCGCCAATGCTCCGAGTCGCTTCGGGGCGCAACGTCAGTCCGTCGTTTCGGCGCAACAGGATACCACCTTGACTCCGACGTCCGCGCTCGTCGCGGCCTTCGCCGAGCCGGCGAACAGCGTCCTCGCGGCGTGCAAGAAGCACCCCCTGCTGGCGGCGGTCTTCTGCGCGACGCTCAAGGACAGCTCCTGCGACGTCGCGACGCAGCGGACGATGAATCCCGAAGGCGCGCCCTGGGATTGGCGACGGACCGCGATCTTCGCGACGTTCGGGGCGACCTTCGTCGGCGCGTGGCAGTACTGGCTCTTCTCCGTCGTCGTGCCGCGGGTCATCCCCATGAGCGCGGGCTTCGCGGCCGCGCCGCTGCGCCAGAAATTGACGGATACCGTCGGCTTGAGGAGCATCGCGCTCTTCGTCGCGGTCGAGAACCTCTTCAACCAGCCCTTCGGCCACTTCCCGACGCTCTACGCCATCAAGTACCGCCTGACGCACGGCGGCGCGAGCCTCGGCGACTCCGTGGGCGCGGGCGTCGCGGACGCGCGGAGAAACTTCGTCGAGGACAACATCAACTCGTGCGCCGTCTGGGTCCCCGCGACGATCATCAACGGCCTCTTCGTGCCCGTCTGGGCGCGCGTGCCCTTCATGAACTTGTGCGGCTGCGGCTGGACGTCCTTCATGTCCTACACGAAGGGCGCGCCCGACGCGGACGCGGACCCCATCGCCGCGCCGCCTTTGCCCTTCGCGCAAAGACAACCCGCCTTCAGCTGAAGCGCCGGCCTCGCCCGAGGCCCGGACGCTCCGAACGCTCTCGTACTCCCCCGGCAGCCGCGCGCGAAAGAGATTCGCGCGGCCCCCGGGCAGCAAGTAACTGTGTGTTCGTCGGACCCCATCGTTGTGTATTCTGGGCCTGAAGTTCCAACGATCCGCGTCATCGGCTCAACTTGTTTCGGGATCGGAGTCAGGTCGGGGCAGCCCCTGGAAGCGAAGCACCAGGCTGGTCGGTGCGCGCGCAGCGACGCAGCGGCAGCAGTTGTTCCCAACACCAGCAGCAGCAGCCGTCCCCAACACCATGCGCTCCTTGCTCGCCGCCTGCGTCGTGCTGGGCGTCCGCGCCTACGACCAGCGCCACCTCGCCGGCTCCGGCAGCCGCCCGCGGCCGCGGCCCACGCCGCGGCCGACGCCGCGGCCCGTGCCCAGCCCGACGCCGCGGCCCACCTACGCCGCGACGCCCGTGCCGAGCGCGCTGCCGTCGCCCGGGCCGACGACGGAGACCGCGGGCCCGACGCCGACGCCGACGCCCGCGCCCGTATCCGCGTGCGACGTCGTCGCGAACGCGAACGCCGAGGACCTCTACAAGGACACGTACACGTCCATGGAGGACGCCTACGACTCGGACACCTACGGCCACGCGACCTACGCGTGCGCGGAGCACCTCGTCGAGGACCTGGCGCAGTACGACAAGGCCGAGCCCTACCTCTGGTGCGTCGTGGGCCACTGCGACGACTGCTCCGGCTCCGGCGACGACGGCAGCTGCATGACGAGCTACCTCGGCCTCGACACCGCCGACGAGTGCAAGAGCGCGACGCTCAACTACCTCGGCTTCGTCAACCGGAAGAAGACGACGCCCGACTACGGCGAGGCCGAGGCGTACTACACCGAGGCGCTCGACCTCTGGCCCGAGAACTGCGGCGCGCTCAACTACCTAACGGAGCTCTACGTCACGACGGGCGACGACGACGCCGCGGCGGAGACCTTCGCCGAGCTCTGCGACACCTGCGGGCCGAACCACGACCACACGCTCGCGCTCGTCGACGACCTCGGCCCCTGCGTGACGCCCGCGCCGTCCGCGGCGCCGTCGACGTCCGTCGCGCCGACGTCGTCCCCGACCATGACGGCGGCGCCGACCTACGGCGCCGCGACGGGCGCCGACGACTACGTCGTCTCCGGCGACGTCGTCGTCTCGGGCATCTCGCTCGACGACGCGGTCGTCAACTCCGCGGTCTTCGCGTCGGCCATCGCCGCGGGGGCCGCCGTGCGCGCGGACTACGTCTCCGTCTTCTTCAGCGAGTCGGCGCGGCGGCGCCTCGCGGCGAGCGTCGTCGTGTCCTACGCCGTCGAACTCGGCTCCGAGGCCGCGGCCGACGGCGCCGTCGCGGAGCTGTCGTCGCTGTCGACGGCGGACTTCGACGCGCTCCTCGCGGCCGCGGCGTCGGACGCGGGCGCGCCGTCCATGTTCGCGACGGTGTCGACGACGTCCCTCGCGACGCCCGAGGCGAGCCTCGTCTCCACGAGCGGTGCGGAGGGCGTCGCGGGCGTCGCCGCGGGCGCGCTCCTCCTCGCCGCGGCCGTCGCGTTGTAACTCTCTTACATCGTCGCCCGTCGGATGCGCGCGGGGAGGCGGACCTCGTCGTGCTTCTTGGGCACGTACTCCTCGCGCTCCGGCTCCGGCTCGGCCTCCGGCTCCGGGTTCTTGTAGGCGTCGACGAGCGCGTAGGCGAAGTCGTCGGGCGCGTCGACGTCGTCGATGTCCGGCACCCCGAAGATGTTCGCCACGCACTTGGCCAGCGGGCTCGGCTGGCCCCGGAGCGTCGCCAGGTTCTTGGACCGCTCCCGGAGGCCCGTCAGCGCCGCCTCGATGAGCCGGTTCTCCGCGAGCGCCGCGTTCAGGACCCCCTCGTGCCGCGCGATGTCCTCCTCGAGGTCGTCGTCGTCGTCCTCCTCGCCCTCCTTGCGCGGCGGCGGCCGCGGCGCGCGGCGCCAGGCGCCGAACTTCTTCGACGCGCGCGCGGCCACGCGCGCGTCGAAGCCCGCCGCCGGGTCCGGCGGGTCGGCCTCGGCCGCGTCGACCCTCGCGTCGCGCTGGTCCACGGCCGCGGCCTGGCGCGCCAGCACGTCGAGGAGCGCGTCGACGGGCGACCGCGACGGGTCGAGCTTCCGGCGGTCCGGGTTGAGGCGTTTGCAGACCGCGAGGACGCGCTCCTCCTTCGTCGTCGCCGGGGGCAGCCGATCCATGTGCGCGACGGTCTCCCGCAGCGCCTTCGCCTCGGCCTCGAGGTGTTCGAGCTCGCGCGCGGCGCGGCGCCGCAGGCCCTCGCACTGGGCGTCGACGCGCTGGCAGCCCATGGCGAGCCGGAAGAGCGCGCCGGCCGCGGCCGCGCGCGAGTCGTCGAGTCGCTCGTCGATGGCGCGCATCGCGTCGCGCGCGGCGTCGGAGCGCCGCGTCTTCGCGACGCGGTCCGCCGCCGCGGCGCCCGCGGCGTCGCAGCGCCGCGCGAGGGCCGCCGTCCGCGCGACGTCCGCGTCCGCGGCCGCCGCGTCCTTCAACGCGCGGTCGACGTCGAGCTTGACGCGCCGGCTCGCGGCGACGCGGCTCGCGTGCTTGAACTCGCGGCTCAGGTCCTTGCGCTTGCAGGTCGCCGCCCAGGCGCGGCGCCGGTCGCCGGTCTCCGCGGCCTTGTCCGCGGCCGCCGCGAGTAGGCGCGCGCACGCGGCGCGGCCGCTCTCGTCCGCCGGCTTCCGCCGGCTCGCGCGGTCGACCCCGGCGCCGCCCCGCGCCGGCGGCGGCGCCGCGCGCGGCGTCGACGTCGGCTTCGGCGGCGTACCGTCGCCCTCGCCGGCCTCGCGGAAGAGCGGCTTCGTGAAGTAGAGCCGCTGGGGCACGGTCTGGAGGGCGGCGTAGTCCTGGCGCTTCGTGAGCGTCACGGGCGTCTGCGTCTCGCTCTTGATGGCCAGCGGGTCCGTGACGACGAGCACGCGCCGCGTCGGCGTCACGACCGTCCCGCCGCTGCCCAGGGACGACTTGGACGGCGACGCCTTGGCCACCATGCTGCCCCCCGGAGAGCCCGTCGGTTGCGGACGCGCGGCTCGACCGGCTTCAAGAACTTGAGCCCCGCTCGGCGCTCGGCTCGCGCTCGATCTCCGCGAGCCGCGGCGCGCGCGCAGCGCTCCGCGTGCAAAGCCCCGCCATGGCGCCGAAGCGCAAGGCCTCGGAGGCGAGCGCCGGGGGCCCGCCGGCGAAGCGGCCGGCCAAGGGCAAGGCGCCGCCCGTCAAGTCCGCCGTGCCGCCCAAGGCGCCGCCCGTCAAGTCCGCCGTGCCGCCCAAGGCGCCGCCCGTCAAGTCCGCCGTGCCGCCCAAGCCGGCGCCGGCCAAGGGCAAGGGCGGCAAGGAGAAGCGCCGGTTCGACTGCCCGAAGCCCGCGTCGTCGGGCGAGGCGCTCGAGGTCGAGAAGAGCCGGCTGCTCACGCGCGATACCGTCTTCCTCGGCCGGAGCGCGAAGAAGGCGCTGCTCAAGTTCCAGGCCTTCGCCAACGCCGCGGACTCGCGGGGCGCCGAGGCGTCGACGGACGACAAGGTCGCGGGGCTCCGGGCCGGCGCGACGCACGAGCTCAGGCTCCTCGCGATCGAGGTCCGCAAGGCGCGGCTCGCGAACGCGGCCTGCGCGCGCGAGATGGAGGAGTGCGCCGCGCTCGAGGCGGAGACGGCGGCGAAGATCGAGGCGACGAAGGTCAACATCGCGCGGCTCCAGGGCGAGCTCCGGTCCGAGCGCCGCGTCCGCGAGCGAAAGGAGGAGTACGAGTCGCTGGCGAAGATCATCAACGGCGTCCCGCCCAAGGTCGCGTCGACCAAAGCCATCGCGGGCCTCGAGGCCGACGTCGCGGGCCTCGGCGAGCGCAACGCGCGCGTCGCCGCCGCGCTCGACGAGCGCGCGGCGCGGTTCGAGCTCCTGCTCCAGACCATCGACGACCTCCAGCGCGCCGACGAGGAGGCCTACGACGAGGAGGCCGAGAAGAACGCCGCCGCCGCCGCCGCGGGCGGCGACGACGCCGCGCCCATGGACGTCGACGACGGCGGCGCGGACGGCAAGCGCGGCGACGCCGCCGCCGACGACGAGGAGGACGGCGAGGTCGAGGAGCACACGTCGCCGAAAAAACGCAAGCTCAGCGCCGCCGACGACGAGTAGGCCGGGGCCTTAACAACTTACTCGCTTCTTGTTTTAGAGCCGCTTCAACATCGAGTTTTTTTATTTTACGACGAGCCGCCTCTCGACAAAACGCTGCCATCAAATCTGTTCGCAGCCCTCCTCGACGCGCGCGGACCGCAGCCCTCCTCGACGCGCGCGCACCGCAGCCCTCCTCGACGCGCGCGGACCGCAGCCCTCGACCCTCGGGCTATGGCGCGGGCGGTGTACGGCACGCGGCGCATCGGCAAGGGCCGCAAGGGCACCTGTAGCCTCTGGCTCAAGCGCAACTGGCTGTTGATGATCATGGTGTTGATGGCCATCGCCGGCGTCGTCCTTTCCATACTGCTCTTCCTCGAGCCCTGCGACAAGAAGACCAAGTACGACACGACGAACGTGACGAGCATCCAGAACGTGACGACCGTCGTCAACGTGACAACCGTCGAGAACGTGACGAGCTACTTCAACGAGACGCACGCCTACAACGTGACGAGCTACTTCAACGAGACGCACGCCTACAACGTGACCACGGAGGTCATGGTCGAAGTCGAGGTCTCGCAGCAGCAGGCCGTGGACGTCGTCGTCGCCCTCGACTCGTCGAACTCCGTCAGCGCCGACGGCTGGACCGACGAGAACGCCGCCGCGCGGACGCTGCTGCGAGGGCTGCGGAACGATCTCGAGAGCGACATGGCCGCGGGCCTGAGCGTGTGGGCGAACGACGGCGTCGTGCGCATGGAGCTCGCCGCCGTCGCCGACGCGGACGCCGTCGACGCCTACGACGCCGACCGCGTGCCGTACTGCTCCGCGGTGCCCGCGAGCGGGAGCCAGAACCAAGCGCAATGCGTCGATACCTTCGGCTACGCCCCCTCGGGCACCTGGGCCATGACGGGCGTGTATACCTACTACTCCCAGGCGCTCCTGAGCTGCATCGACGAGCTCGCGGCCCGGGGCCGGAACGACTCGTTCCAGCTGTGCATCATCATCACGGACGGCGTCATCAGCGAGGACTCCTACGCGCAGGACCCGGACTGGACGACGATGCTCTTCACGGACACGATGGTCGAAAACTTCTACGACGCCGGGAGCGCCTACGAGCTCTACTTCACGTCCGGCGAGTACTACGGCTACTACGTGACGGAGATGTGGATCGCACCGGGCGCGTACGCCTTCTGCCAGAGCGCGGGCATCTCGGTCTGCTCCGTGGACAACATCGCGCGCTACATGAAGGACGACCTGGGCATCACGATCCAGAACGTGCTCGTCGGCTCGGAGGACATCTTCACGGCCAACGTCACGAGCCGCATGTCGCAGCTGTCGAGCTGCGATTCGTCCGCGGTCGACTACGACGGCTGCGCGTACCTGAGCAAGAGCGACGACTTCGAGGCGCTCAACGACGCGGCGACGACGATCGCCGCGTCCGTCGCGACCCAGGTCGGGACCGTCATGACGCTCGAGGAGCGGACGACGACGGAGACGGAGACGCGGACGTCGTCGTCGACGGTCGCGGAGACGGAGACGCGGACGTCGTCGTCGACGGTCGCGGAGACGACGACGACGCCCGTGACGACGACGGCGTCGGTCACGGACATGATCAGCCTCACCGAGAGCCTGACGACGCAGGAGACCGTCTGCACCGGCGACGGCGTGTCTTTCGCGTTCATGCTCCTGGCGATCCCGCTCCTCGTCTACCTCTTCTTCAAGCCCATCTCCAACGTCCTCGAGCGCTGCCTCTGCCCGCCGGACGCGCCGCCGCCGGCGCCGGAGGCGGCCCAGTCGCCGTGCACGATGAGCGTGAACCCCGTCTTCGGGAAGGAGATCGACCCCGACGCGGACCAGCGGCCCCCGCCGCAGCTCGCGAAGAAGGAGCGCGCGAAGATCGACAACACGCTCACGAAGCAGGCGCGGGGCAAGAAGAAGAAGAAGATCTTCGGGCTCGTGACGCCGCGCGGCGGCGGCGGCGCCGCCGCGCCGCCGGCGCCGCCGCCGTCGAGCCCCGCGCACGACTACGTCATCGAGGCGCCCGCCGCGCCGCCGCCGCCGCGCTTCACCCCGGCGCGCGGCGGCAGCGCCACGGAGTGGGGCACGGGCATCGCCGCGGTCTACGACGGCGACGACTGGCAGGAGACCGTCGCCGACTTCGTCATCGCCGTCGTCTGCTGCAAGTGCGGCGCCAAAAAGGCCGCCGATTCCTCCAAGGACGACCCCCACCCTCTCTAAGTTACTCGGATGCGCCGTCGGCGAGCCGCCGCTGCACGAAGAGGAGGCCGTCGAAGGTGCGGTGCATGCGGACGTCGTCGTCGACGTAGAGGAGCGCGAAGCCCGCGCCGCGGTCCGACGCGTCGACCTTCTTCCCGATGAGCCCGCGCGAGAACCTGCGGAGCCGCCGCGGGTTCGGCAGCGGGATCGTGATCGTGCCGAAGAGCCGGGGGAACCGGCTGCGGCGCAGGAGCCGGACGCGCTTGAAGACGAGCTGCACCTCCAAGTCGTTGAGCGCCTCGCCCTCGACCTCGACCCGGAAGCCCCGGAGCTTGCCGTCGCCGTCGAAGTCGACGCAGTTCACGAAGAGGCCCGCGGCGCTGTCGATGGTCTGCGACGTCGTCGCCGCCCCCCGCGCGTCGTCGCGCTTGAACGTCGCGTCGGCCGCGTTCGTGAAGCGCAGCGCCCAGCGGCCGTCGAGCGCGCACGTGTCCCGGCCGTTGCGGCCCCGCCAGCCGTCCAGGGGCGCGGCGGTCGGGTTCAGCGGCGCGAGCGCGTCGACGGCGGCGACGACGGCGTCGCGCTTCTCGCGCAGGGCCGCGTCGTACGACGATTCCATCGCCACGAACGACTCCGCGGACAGCTGCTTGCCCAGCTTCTTGTCGAGCGACGGCTGCTCGCCCCGCGCGCCGCGCAATCGACGGAAGAAGCGCCGCGCGCGCGAGGGCCGCTCCCCGGCCGCGGCCTCCGCCTCGGCCGCGGCCGCGGCGGCCTCGGCCGCCGCGGCCTCGGCCGACGCGCGCTCCTGCTCCTTGAAGGCCGCACAGGCCTCGAAGAGCTCCTGCTTCAGCGTCTCTCGCTTCTCGGCGAGCAGCGCCTGCGGCGTCTGCGGCGTCGCCGTCGCGAAGGCGGTGTGTGTTGTGCTGCGGGTCGGCGCGCGGCTCGATGGCAATGTTTGGAACGCGTGTGTCAGCGCGAGTGTCGCCGCGAGAATTGTCAAAGCTCGCATCGCACGTGGCTCGATCAGAGATGAGACTCTCACCGTGGGTGAAGATGTTGAAGTTTTAACAGCGTCAAGGTGAACACTCAAAGTGCTGCATCCAGCGAGGACTGCCGGGCTGCGTCTCTCCCGCCGCCGTCGTCGTCGGACGGTGCTCTCGGGAGCGAGCATGGGGCTCTTCTCTCCCGGCGAGGTGCGGTCCCTGGCGAAGCCCGCTGGGGCCGAGAACCTCGACACCCTCGACGACGTCGCCAACGCCGAGGCCCCGAGCGACCGGGGCGGCGTTTGCGGCGCGGGCGACGGCGGCGGCGACTGGCCCTACGTGGCGTCGGAGCTCGTCGGCGGCCTCTTCCACGTCTTCCTCGGCGGGGACCCCCTGGCGCGGTCCGGCGACCTGCGCGACGTCGCGTCCGAGGCCCACGTCGCGGCCACACTCCGGGACGTCGCGCGCCGCGTCGGCCGCGCGCCCGGCGGCCTCGGCGCGCTCCGCGTCGCCGCGCGGGTCCCCGGGCGGGCGTCGGCCGACGAGATCCTGGGCGCCGCGGACCCGCTCGTCGCCCTCGCGGCCGAGCACGCGGGCGAGCCCGTCGCGCGCGCCGTCTGCCTCAGGGCAGGACAAGAGAGCGAAATTCCCAACTTCAAAGGCTCCTTTCTCGGCCGTTTTCCACTCGTTTCGGCTGATTTTTGGACGAGCGATCATCTCTCGGAACGGTCTCGAAGCGTGGATGCTTTTTTCGGAACGCGCGCGCGCGGAACACTCACGTTGAAGCGACGTTGAATCTCTCTTGTCCTGCCCAGGTCTGCCTCGAGGCGCTCGCGCGGCTCTGCGAGGCGTCGGCCGCCGCGCGGCGGCGCGTGTCGCGCGCGGAGCGCGTCTACGACGTCGTCAACCGGTCCCTCAAGTCGCCGCTCTGGCGCGCGTCGGCCAAGCACCCCAAGTCGCCCGCGCTCCGAGCGCTCCTAGCGAAGGCGTACCCGAATTACTACGAGCCCGAGGCGTCGCTCGGCTGCCGGCTGCTCATGCACCTGCTCCCCTGCGACCCGCCGCCGGGCGTCGACCTCGGCGGCATCGGCACGGCGCTGCTGATTTTACTGGACGGCACGCGCGACGCGAAGCGGCGGCCCATCGTCGTCGCGGCGACGTGCCTCGCGATGCTCTGCGCGACGGCGAACCGGACGGGCCTCGCGGCCGTCGACGGCGCGGGCGTCGCGAAGCTCGTCGAGGCCTGCCGGGGGCGGCTGCCCGTGCCGGACAAGGACGACGACGACGACGACGACGACGGTGACGGCGACGCGGCCGACTGCCCGCACCGCAAGCTCGACAAGGTCGAGCGCGACGCGTTCGCGGCCGCGTGCGGCAACTGCCTGCGGGTCTCGACGCGGTCCCCGCGCATGCTGCCGTTCCTCGTCGACGCCGACGCCATCGAGACCGTGCTCGTGCCGGGCCTCCTCGTCGGGTCGCCCGACGACAAGGCGAACTCGGAGCGCGCGCTGCTCATGCTGTCGCTCGACGCGGCGACGGCCGCGGACGTCGCGCGGACGCCGGCGCTCGCGACCTTCGCGCAGCTCGACTTCGTCGCGGGCGGCGACGCCGACGACGGCCGCCGCGGCGCGTCGGCGGCGGCGAAGGCGCTCGCCGCGCTCGCGGACCGGGGGCTGGGCGTCGCCGTCGCGGGCGCCGTCGCGCGGCGCGACGCGATCGGCGAGCGGCTCGTCGCCAACGGCGGCGCGGCGCCGGCGCGCGTCCCGGACCTCGACGACTGCGCGGCGCGGGCCGCGCGGGCCGTCGCGGACGCGGACGCGGCCTTCGGCGACCGCGTCGCGTCGGACTGCGTCGCCGTGTGGCGGAGCAGCGGCACGGAGCGCGCGCACCGCCACGAGCTGTGTGGAAATCAAATCTTCAACCCGACTTCAATGTGCGCGTAATCGAACGGTTCGGACCAGACTCTTCAACTGTGCTTCGAGAACTCGACGAGAGCAATCGATTCGTCCAAAAATCAGCCGAATCGACTTCAATTTGACTGAGCTAGAGATTTCTGAAGTTTGGCCCCGACGTCCCAGCTCACTGGTTGATTTCCACACAGGCCACGAGCCGACGCTCCTCGACGCGCTGCGGCGCCTCCGGGCGCTCGTGGCGCCGGACGCGCGCGCGCTCGCCATGCGGTCGACGACGGCCGCGGCGACGATGGCGCTGAGCCCGCGCTTCGACGCGGACGACGACCCGCGGCTCGCCGCGCTCGAGGACCGGCTCGTGACCTACGGCTGCGTCGAGGCGCTGGGCCTGCTCATCGACATCCGCGTGTCGACGCCGCGGCCCAAGGACCACGAGGTGTCGCTCGCGGCGTGCGCGGCGCTCGGCGGCATCTGCCGCGCGCCCCTGGTCACCAAGGGCGACGGCGACCGGAAGCAGCCGCTCGCGCTCGTGCACCTCGCGAGCCGCCTCCTGGACCGGGACGGCCCGCTGCGGTGCTGGGGCTACAACTTCCTCGCGCTCGTGACCATATCGGCCGCGAAGCGCGCGCTGCACCGGCCCCGGGGCACGAGCCGCGTCTTCGAGGACGCGCTCGCGGAGGCCTGCAAGAAGGCCGTGAAGCGCGTGCCCAACGGCGACGAGCCCTTCGCGGCCGTCTGCGTCAAGGCGCTGACGACGCTCGGGGAGCTGGGGCGCGTCCAGTCGGCGACGGACGAGGCGGACACGAGGCGGCTGGTGGGGCTGCTGGGCTGGGGCGTGCCCGCGGACATCTGGTCGCTCCTGGGCGAGCTCTGGGGCTTCGACGTGCCCTGCGACGACGCCTTCGAGCAGCCGCCCCTCGTGCGCCACGTCGCCGCGGAGGCGCTCCTCGCGTTCGCGACGCGCGACGACGACGAGCGGCTGTGGCTGCAGGACGTCGCGGCCCACGGCGGCTGCGACGACCTGCTGGAGATCCTGAAGAAGGACGTGGCCCACGAGGCGGGCCGCGACGCGGCCTACGACCTGCTGGTCATGCTGAGCGAGGTCGACGGGCGGCGCCACGCGCTCATCGACGCGATCAAGAAGCGGCGCGGCGCCGTCTTCTGGGAGAAGCACGAGCGGAACCTCAACGACGAGCGCGCGCTCAAGTCGGCGCTGCGGGCGCTCAAGGTCGAGGCCGAGGTCGCCTTCGAGCGCATCCAGAAGCGGCGCGACGACCGCGCGTCGCGCGTCCGCGCGAACCCGGAGGCCGCCGCGCGCCTCGCGGCCGCCGCGGAGACCGCGGAGCAGGAGCTCCTCGAGCTCTGCGACGCCGAGGCCAAGGAGCGCGAGCCCAAGGCGTCGAAGAAGAAGAAGAAGAAGAAGAAGAAGGCGCCGCAGCAGCCCGACTCGCCCGACCGCGGCGACGCCGCGGCCGCCGCGGCCGCGGACGGCGGCGGCGACGGCGGCGCCGCGCCCGGCGACGGCGGCGCCGCGCCCGACGACGGCGGCGACGCGCCGGACGACGGCGGCGACGCGCCCGACGACGGCGGCGACGCGCCCGGCGACGGCGGCG